AAATATATGAAAAAATGTTCAACATCTCTAGCAATTAGAGAAATGCAAATCAAAACTACTCTAAGATATCACCTCACTCCAGCCAGAATGGCAGCTATTATGAAGACAAACAACAATAAGTGTTGTCAAGGATGTGGGGRAAAAGGCACACTCATACATTGCTGGTGGGACTGCAAATTGATGCAGCCAATATGGAAAGCAGTATGAAGATTCCTTGGAAATCTGGGAATGGAACCACCATTTGACCCAGCTATCCCTCTCCTCAGACTATATCCAAAGGACTTGAAAACAGCATACTACAGGGACACAGCCACATCAATGTTTATAGCAGCACAATTCAAAATAGAAAAACTGTGGAACCACCTAGATGTCCCTCAGTAGATGAATGGATTAAAAATGTGGCATATATACACAATGGAATATTACTCAGCAATAACAGAATAAAATCATGGCATTTGCAGGTAAATGGATGACACTGAAGAAGATAATGCTAAGTGAAGCTAGCCAATCCCCAAAAAACAAATGCYGAATGTTTTCTCTGATATAAGGAGTCTGACTCATAGAGGGGTAGGGAGGGGGAAAAGAGGAATAGATGAATTCTAGATAGGGAAGAGGTGGGGGGGAGGGAAAGGGAGGAGGCAGGGGATTAGCAAGGATGGTGGAATATGATGGACATCATTATCATCCAAAGTACATGTATGAAGACATGAATTGGTGTGAACATACTTTATATACAAGCAGAGATATGAAAAATTGTGCTCTTTATATGTAATAAGAATTGTAACGCATTCCTCTGTCATGTATTTAAAAAATAAAATCAATTAAAAATGTATTTCCAAGAGTGCTACTTATATACAAAAGAAAAGGCCACTCTGTTTCTGCCTAGTTCTCTTGGGTCATTCAGCTGTGAATGTATGAACCAGCATTTAAGGGCTCCCTCTGTGGAGGCCTACATGACGTGGGTGCCCAGACAGTGTGGAAAGGCCACACCCAGGTGTTTTGACTGACAGCCCAGCTCAGGTCCCAGCCAATAACCCAAATCAACTGTCAGACACTTGCTTGATTGTGCCTCCAGATGACTCCAGCCCCTCTTCAGTTCTTCCCAGCCGAGGATCAGAGACTGTGTCTTTTCTGAGTTCCTGACCCACAGAACGTGTGAGCATTATAAAATGGTTGTTCAGTGATATGAAGTCTTGGGTCAGTGTGTTACACAGCTATAGTAACTGCAACAGTCATTAAGGGGACTGTCTCATTTGGCACATTGATTAGGGTGTTAGTCCCTTAGGCTGGGTTCAGGGCTTTAATGTATAGTGTCCCATTTAACTCCCATGATAACCTCCTAAGCAAGGTGCTACCCCTCTCCATTATGGGTCCAAGGAAACAGGTCCTCAGGGAACTTCAGCCCTTGCTAGAGCACCCCGTGTGCCAGGGGAGAGCTGGTAGCAAAGTCAGGTCAGTCTGTGCTTGATGACCTTGGGTCCAGTCCACCTTCTACTAAACAAGCCCAGTGCCTGCCCATGGAGTACCTCAGAGGAGAGGGGAGACCTGCACAATCCCAGACGGCAGTGAGTGTGTTCTCTAAAGGGTCGGACTGTGGCCTTTCCCTCCACCAGCATGTGATTGRGAGAGGCCAGCTCCATGCTGTGCTACCTCAGAAGCCAAGATAACTAGGGCCCTGAGGCTTCCCAAGTACCCCTTTTCCAGGGACTTCTGTGGCTCCCCCTCTGGTCCCTTCACAGGTTCCCTCCCATGGGCAAGGCAGGAAATTGGGCAATTAGCCCATGCTGGCTCCCTCCCTAAGCAGAGCATGTGGCTATTTTCCCTGGAGTATCAATCTTGTTGGTAAATGAGGATCTTCTTGCCATTTTCCTGCAAGTTGAAAACAGCTGTGCAACATTTGAAAGATTCTTAGGTCAGGAGAATTTCTTCATTGAATATTGGTCCTTCTGAACAGTAAGTGAGGGCTCAGGAAATCACCTTGAACAGAAGGTTTCTGARCTCACCAAAGACTGTTGCAGGTCAGAGGAAGAAGGAGAATCATCTCCTGGCACTGGGTATGTGTGTTTATGTGAGCATATGCATGCACATGTATTTTTTATTTTGTTTTATATAATACAATGTATTTAGTAAGTAAGTGACTTACACACCTACTCTTTTTTTATATATTGAAAGTATATATAGACTATGGAGAGCTGTAAATCTCCTCTTCCACACACACATGTGCACACATGTCATCTCTGACATATTTGATTACATGGCTGCATGTGTGTATGTAGTATGTGCTTTCTATGTAGATGATTAGGTATGATGTTAATGGGCTGTGTTGTATGTAACAATGTTTTATTTATCTATTGTGTGTAAATTTGTGTGAAAATTGTACAACTCTTGACTGTTTTTCCTAGAATGAAAATAGGTCAGAGAGATCTGTGATTGTATGTGTGTATGTCACTACTTACATGTGTCTACATATAACACACTTTACATATAACATACTTACATTCTATTTTAATGTAGAATAGAGGAAGATGGAACTAAAATTATGAAATGGGTGTGTGTGTGTGTGTGTGTGTGTGTGTGTGTGTGTGAATGCATGTATTTTATATTGGGAAAACAGCACATTATACTCTCACATTACAGGCAACATTGATCAATTTATGTTTGGCATATGTATGAATATACCACAGTGAATTTCACCTTTATGTATATCTATAAGACACTAATGGAAAAAAAAAACTATAGCTAAATAGAAGGAGGATCAGTAGAGTAGGGGAAGGGGAATGGGGCAGGGGAGGGGAATAGGAAGGACTGTGAACTAAAATGGAGCAAATTATGTTCCAGGCTTGTATGAATATGTCATAATGAGGCCTGTCTGGGCACTTTGGCTTTCAACAATGCCATATTTCCCCTCTGGGAAATGAGATAGTGATTAGGTGCTTAGGCCCTGGTGTCACACACATCTTGGTTCAAACCTCCACTTTAGACTCTTTGTAGCTTTATGAAGCTTTTTGACTCTTTATAGTTGTACTTGAACCTCTGTGAAGCTCAGCAGCCTGAACTGCACAAAGTGATGGGACTAAAGATTTAACTCAGCGTATGGCATATTATAAACATGAAATAAATGGGAACACAATCATTGCTCAAATGCTGGAGATTCTCAACCCATTAGTTATTTCCTGGCTATCAAGGAGGAGTATTTTACACAAGGATAGAGGAAACATGCTTATTCAAAGGCTTTTTGTCAGGGCTGGGGATGTGACAGAGTGGAAGAGCACTTGCCTAGGGCTGGTTCAAAAACAGAACTCTCACACTCCACGTCCCTGCTCCCCTCTTCAACCATGAGGCTGTGTCCAGCTGCCTTTCACACAGTGTGACTCGAATCAAGGTTATCTTTTTAAATATCAAGGTGATTTTGTTGACATTTAACTTCTGAATTTTCTTCCAGAGATGTTTGAGTTCCAGAAGAAGTCTGGTCCAGMGAACACCAGTGGGTAGTCAGGTCCCCGTCAGAGATCTGTCACTTCTTCCCTCTGGTCCTTCCCACTGRTTGAGGAGCCTGAGMTCCTCTCTGCTCTTTGAAGAAGCTCTTCTGTTGGGTGCCGGTGCCTTGGTGTGACAGTGTCCCTCTGGATTCCCTTTCCAGGACTTCTGTATGTAACTTCTAACTSGGATTTAACTCTCAGTGGAGGAGTCCCTAAGTCTTTTGCAAACACTGTCAGAGGTTCTATGCTCAAGACTGGATCCACAAATGGCTCTTGAGTATGCCTTTGAAGTATGTCTTACATCTCTGTTTCCACATAGGAACATGACAAAACGGAATGTCTGCTTCATAAGCACTCAGGTTTGCTGATTAATGGAGGTAAATGCACATAAGAGCCCTTTGCAAATTTCAATGTCTGACTTAAGCAAGTGGCTGTACTGTCTGGTTAGCCCAGGAAAGCTCTGGAGTAGACCTGTTGTATTGGTACAATTATTGCACAGCTTCTTTTTTCACTCCTAAATGTGGCCACACTTCCAAGTTCCTAACACAACATAGTGACATCATATATGTGAGTGTTGACAGAAAATCAAGCAGGTAACTTGGGATAAATTTKAAACCTTGAAGCAATTCATAACAGGGTCCAGGTTCAGGATCTGGGCCTCTGCAGATTCTCAGGGTGTGAAATTTTCTAGGATTTAAACCTTTTTTCCCCTAGGCCCATAACTGTCTGGACAGATGACCTCATCACTTTTCTATTGAGTTCCTGCAGTTTGATATCAGAATTATCTGTTGGACTCATACTGCCAGGGCAGCTGGCTGGCMCTGGTGCATGTTTCAGTGTGTGGGGCTCTGATCTAARCTTACTACAGTATCAACTTGTTTATTTCCTCCAGAACCCCATGACCAGGTAATAATAGTATTATCATGTTAGGGAAGAGGGGCGTAGGTCCACACTGAGACAGCTGCCAAGGCCACTCAGGTGAGGGACTGCTGAGTTAGAGATCCATCTCAAGGCTCCAGGTCATGAAGTCATCCGTCTTGCTCAGTTGTCTATAAAATGCTTATAATGTGTGGGCTACAAGAGGGAAGAGACTTAGGGAATCTAATTTTMTGTGAGATTCCCAGTTCCAAAAATAGTGTGTGGGATGTGGTTGAGTAAATGAATAAATTTACACTGTCTCCCTTGAAGGAAACCTTGTTTGCAKTGAAAATCTGATGACCTGTTTCCAGAATGAAGCAGACTGGAGAGTCAGACAGCAAAGTGTGAAGTTTTTCTGAATTTTAATACAGTCCCCAGAGAAAACAGCATGTGGCTATGATGCACATCTGGTGAGGAAAACCACCACATCTCATCTCTCACACTTCCTACTCATTTGTCCCCAAGAAGGAGAAGAGCGCCATGAACCAAAGCAGTGTGTCYGAGTTCCTCCTCCTGGGGCTCCCCATCCAGCCASAGCAGCAAGGCATGTACTATGCCCTGTTCCTGGGCATGTACCTGACCACGGTGCTGGGGAACCTGCTCATCATCCTGCTCATCAGGCTGGACTCTCGCCTGCACACCCCCATGTACTTCTTCCTCAGCCACTTGGCCTTTTCTGATGTCTCTTTATCATCTGTCACTGTCCCTAAGATGCTCAGGAACATGCAGACTCAGCACTTATCCATCCCCTATGAAGGATGCATTTCTCAGATGTATTTTTTCTTACTTTTTGTATGTGTTGACAATTTTCTTCTTGCAGTGATGGCCTATGACAGGTATGTGGCCATTTGCCACCCCCTCCACTACGCCATCATCATGAGGAAGGAGCCGTGTGTCTTACTGGCRSCTGGGTCCTGGTTCTTCTCTTGTGTACATGCCCTCTTGCATACCCTCCTCCTGWSCCACCTGTCCTTCTGTGCTGACAACACCATCCCCCACTACTTCTGTGAACTCACTGAACTCCTGAAGCTGACCTGCTCAGATGACTCCCTCAATGAGCTAGTTATCCTCGCTGAGGGGGGAGTGTTAACGCTCCTGCCTTTGAGTGSTATTTTGGGCTCTTATGTCTGCATTGGGGCCACTGTCCTAAGGGTCCCCTCCACTAAGAAGATCTGCAAAGTTCTGTCCACCTGTGGCTCTCACCTCTTCTTGGTGTTTTTGTACTATGGGACCCTTGCAATTATTTATTTCTTTCCTTCCTCAAACAATTCCCAAGTCAAGGATGTCATTGCTTCAGTTATGTATACAGTGGTGACACCAATGTTGAATCCTTTTGTCTACAGCCTGAGGAATAAAGACATGAAATTGGCTCTGAGGATGCTTTACAGAAAAGTGGTTACAGTTACCAAGTGATGTTTACCCACTCATGTTCTTAATTCTTCTAGAGATGCTTCTTGAGATAATTATCTAAAAATTTGTGCAGGTGGCTGTAGTAGATTGCAAAAGTGGTCACAGTACTTTGCATCCCTTCCTTTCAATTGTGGAATTTATTTCCTCACCCCTTGAATCTTTTCAGATCTAGTGATTTAATTTGACTATAGCTTTGTAGTAATGATATAATATAGTAACGATGTTATTATATTTCCAAGCTGAGGCAGTGTGTGTTCCTGCTGCTCTTGGAACCAGAGACCACCAGGTAAGCCAGCCTATGCTAGGCTGCACAGAGATGAGAGGCCACTTGGAGAACAAAGGTGCCCCTGCTAACAGCCAGCTTCCAGGTGACCTGGTCAGTGTCTGTGGGGGCATGAATGAGTTCCTGTTGAGATCMGCTGAACCTAGCCAAGACCAGATGCACCTTTCAGCTGAGCCCAGCCCAGGCCAAATCTCCAGCTTGTAGGATCATCTCACCAACAACTAGTTAAAGCACCAAGTCTGGGGATTATTAAGCAGCAAAAGCTAACTGATACAACTACTGGTCTTACCACTAGTTTGATCCAAACTTCTCTTTATTTCAATGGTCCATTTCCTGTCTTGGTCCCCTGCTTGGATTTGACAATTCCATGTTTCTTTCCCACCTTCTAGGACTTCCTGTCTGTCAAACATACAAGTTCACAGACACACCATGATGCTCCTCAAAATCTTAGCTTTAGGAAATCTATCTTCCATGTCATTCTCCTGTAACCCTCAGTTTTTTCATGTGACATAACTATTAATATAAAAATTATTTACAAATAAAGAATGGGCATTAGCTCAGCCTCTCCCAGACAGATGCTCAAAGTCAAACAGCCACTGCAAGAGGAACAAGCGAGACTTTGAGTGACCTGAGTTCATGGAACTCCTGTTTCCATCTTTAGATTTCACAGTTTATGATATTATGAATGTCTGAATGTATAGCTGGGAGACTAAGAGAAAACCGGGAGATGGTAAAGAAATTTAACTTTTAACCATGATCTTAAATTTTATTACCTAATCCTAAATTACAGGAAACATTATTCTCTTGTATTATATTGGTTTCAAACTAGAAATTATGTTCAATATCAAGACTAAACACAAAGAAAGCAATGGAGAAAAGCCCTGCTGTTTCCACATTGCTACTTATGCCCCCMCTCCCGACCCCTTTGCAGAGACTCTGATAAATCACCTGCTTTGAGAATTGCTGATTTAGAGGATGGAGGGTGAGAACATTCCATGCCATGCTGAATGGAGTATTGTTGGCAGTCACTCCATTATTCTCATAACCTCCTTGTATGTTTGCAGATTTCCCCTAAGTAGAAAGGGGGCTGTAAGTAAATTGTGCAGTGATATTTGGTAAGGGAATGGACCTTATAGCATACTAACAAACAAGTGTCTTTCCTGGAAGTCTTGTTCAGTGTTTGCAGACATGGGATTATTCACATTTTCTAAGAACACTGATAACAATGCTCATATTATAAGGTCGGTATAAAACTCGAGTGAGAGAGAAATTCAGATTAACCTTCACTTTTTTGTCAAGTGTAAGAGTTATAGTTGTAAACATGCTGTCTCATCAATCTGAAGAGTTACGATGACTTGGGCTGGGGATGTGGCTCAAATGGTAACGCGCTCGCCTGGCATGCATGGGGCGCTGGGTTCAATCCTCAGCACCACATAAAAATAAAATAAAGATGTTGTGTCCACCGAAAATTAAAAAACAAAAAATATTTAAAAATTCTCTCTCTCTCTAAAAAAAGATGACTTGTTACAATGTAAACATATGTGAACCTCCTACTTCCAAAAAGATATTACATCAGAAATATACGTTTATTCTATAGAAAGAGAAATAATTTTAGTTCTAAGATTAGAGAACATTCAGTAATATTGCATTTTATCTAAGTTTTATGTTCTTTCTCAGGRTACTGATACCAAGATGAAAGTTAAAAATTCTCCAAAGTGATACTTGGTTTAATTGGAATAAAATTTCCATAAGATTAGCACTTAAGTGAAAGAATGGAAAGGGGCAATATGAAGGATTATTTCTTTATCTGAATGATGGCTACGTAGGTGTGTTTCCTCTGGGATCGTTCATCAGATTGTGCCTTTACTGTATGCTTAGCTCTATGCATGCTGTATTTCCATTCACAAATATTTATTCTTAATAAAACAACATTTTAATCTACTTTTACATTACCCACAAGCTACTCTTATGGTTCCTCTCAGAAGGAAATGGGTATCCTAAATTTTGTGTAAATATTTCAATATTTTCTGTTTTTAAGTCCTTTGGGTATAGACCGAGGAGAGGAATAGCTGGGTCAAACRTTTGTCCATTCCCAGTTTTCCAAGAAATCTCCATACTGCTTTCCATATTGGCTGCACTAATTTGAAGTTCCACCAGCAGTGTATGAGTGTACTTTTTTCCAACATCCTCACCAACACTTGTTGTTGTTTGTCTTCATAATAGCTGCCTTAGGGTGAGTTGATATCTTAGAGTGGTTTTGATTTGCATTTCTCTAATTGCTAGAGATGATGGACATTTTTTTCATATATTTGTTGACTGATTGTCTATCCTCTTCTGAGAAGTGTCTGTCCAGGTCCTTGGCCCATTTACTGATTGGATTATTTGTTTGTTTGTTTTTTTTTGGTGCTTAGCTTTTTGAGTTCTTTATATACCCTAGAGATTAGTGCTCTATCTGATGTGTGAGGGGTAAAAGTTTTCTCCTAAGATGTAGGATCTCTATTCACCTCACAGATTGTTTCTTTTTTAAATTTATTTTTATTTTTTAAATATATATATGTTAGCAGAATGCATTACAAATCTTATTACACATACAGAGCACAATTTTTCATATCTCTAGTTGTATGCACAGTATATTCACACCAATTCGTGTCTTTATACCTGTACTTTGGATAATAATGATCATCACATTCGAGCATCATTAATAACCCCATTCCCCTTTCCTTTCCCTCCAACCCCGCTGCCCTATCTAGAGTTCGTCTATTCCTCCCATGCTCCCCCTCCCTACCCCACTATGAATCAACATGCTTATATCAAAGAAAACATTCAGCATTTGGTTTCTTGGGATTGGGTAACTTCACTTAGCATTATCTTCTCCAACACCATCCATTTACCTGCAAATGCCATAATTTTATTCTCTTTTATTGCTGAGTAATATTCCATTGTGTATATATGCCACATTTTTTACCTATTCATCTACTGAAGGGTAAGATTTTTCCCAACCTTTCACCTTCAGCCTGTGTATATCTTTTTCTATCAGATGAGTCTCATGGAGGCAGCATATTGTTGGGTCTTGCTTTTTTAACTCAATCTGCTAGCATATGTCTTTTGATTGGTGAGTTTAATCCATTAACATTCAGGGTTATTATTGAGACATAGTTTGTATTCTCAGCCATATTTAATTATTTTTGTTATTTAACTTGATTTTCTTCTTTGATTAGGTTTTCCTTTTGGGTACCACCTCCCTCTGCTGATTTTCATCATTGTTTTTTGTTTCCTCTTCATGGAATATTTTTCCAAGGATGTTTTGTAGTGCTGGTTTTCTAGCTATAAATTCTTTAATTTTTGTTTATCATGGAAGGTTTTAATTTCATCTTCAAAATAAAGCTTAATTTTTCTGGATACAATTTTCTTGGTTGGTACTTATTTTCTTTCAGAGCTTGACATACGTTGTTCCAGGATCTTCTAGCTTTCAGGGTCTGTGTTGAAAAATCTGCCATTATCCTAGTTGGTTTTCCCCTATATGTAATCTGATTCCTTTCTCTTCTGCTTTTAAAATTCTTTTATTAATCTGCATGTGGGGCATTTTTATTATAACGTGACTTGGTGTGGATCTGTTGTGATTTTGTACATTCGGCATCCTGTAGGCTTCTTGAATTTGGATTTCCATTTTTCATGTTTGGAAAGTTTTCTGATATTATTTCATTGAATACATTGTTCATTCCTTTGGTTTGGACCTTTATGCTTTCCTCTATCTCAATAACTCTTAAATTTGGTATTTTTATGCTATCCGTATTTCTTGAATGTTCTGCTCATGGTTTCTTACCATTATCACTGTGTGGTCTATGTTCTTTTCAAGTTCATATATTTTGTCTTCATTGTCTGAGGTCCTGTCTTCCAAGTAGTCCACTCTGTTGGTGATGCTTTCATTTGAGCTTTTAATTTGGTTTATTGTTTCTTTCATTTCAAAGATTTCTGTTTTTTTTTTCCAGTATCTCTATCTCCCTGTTGGGGTGATCTTTTGCTTCCTGTATTTGTTTATGTAGCTCCTTGTTAAAGTGATCTTTCATTGCCTATAATTGCTCTCTTATATCTTCCTTGAGTTCACAGAACATTTTAACCAGGTACATCCTGAACTCTTTCTCTGTCATTTCTTCTGCTGTGGCTGGCAATGATTCTAAGGATGTGGTGTCTTCATTTGTTGGGGGCATTTCCTTCCCTTGTCTTTTCATGTTGCTTGAGTGTCTTCCTTTCCAGCTCTGTGGGTCTGGGGTGTTATTGTTTTTACCCTATAGATTTGTAGTGCTCTTGTAGGGTTCCAAGACCTCTACTTTGTGGGGAAGGGCAATGTTAACAGATCTCAATACCAATAATATACCACCTATGAACAATTTGTTGGTATTAAGACGTTTATAGTTTAGTCTCAATATATAGAAATATTGGATTCAATTGTTATCTAAAATATAATCAGTGGTTTTGTAAAAGGATTTATATTTTCTGACAGTGGACAAAGAACTGGTGGTGAGGTGTAGGAAGATATGCTGAGGAGGTAGGATGTGAGGATATGGAGTTAATATATCTTAGGAAGTGTAAAGGAGAAATCTAGTGAAGAGGGTTAGTAGCAAGAGAATAGACTGGAAGTAATTTAGGGTAGGCAAGTACGTGGGATGACAGTAGAGTACAGAAAACAAACACACATATGTATTTAGAAAAATACAGATGTTAAAACAGTAAAACTTGGAGGGGGAAAGAAAAATGAAAGAAGAAAAAGGAAAAGAAAAGAAAAAAGGGCATATACAACAACTCTATATTATATTATTCAGATGACTCAGTCCTCAAAATCCAATTTCATGCAGTGTTCTTGGGTTCACATATGTTGGGGTGTGAGGGCTTGAGGATGAAGGAGTAGAAGAGAAAAAAAAAACCTGGGTGGAAGAAGCCAAGGTTGTAGCTAGCTTTAGAGATCCGTATCTTTCCTGCTTCTCTTCTCATCCAATAGGTGGTGCATCTGTTTTAAGCTGGGGTCTCTGCCCTCAGGATGGTGGAGGTAACCACGGTGGGAAGACTGGTCCTGGTGTAGGGCATCTGGAAGCAGGAATGGCACCTGCCAATCCCTGTAGGAAGACTGCAGGTCACAGGTATCTTTTGGGGACGGCTTGTATGACTTGAGCGCCCGACACTATCTCCCTCTCTTGCCTGGAGATTTCCCAGTTCCTGGTTTCTCTGTTAGGCTCCAAACTTTAGCCCACCTCCCTCTCCCTTAGCAATTCCTAATTGAGGAACCTCTCACACTGGAGCTCCCTTGGGCGGTGCCCTGGTCGCACTGGGCACCTGTGCTGGGCAGCTACTTTGTTGGGTTACTGCCACTGGGGAGAGGCAGAGGTTGCAAACCTGGTACCTGGCTGCTGGGGATCTGATCTGGGAGCTGCCCCACCTAATATGGTGAGAATATCGAGCCAAGATGGCGGCAATCTGCTTTCAGTGTGGGGTGTCTGGTGGGGTGGGGGAACCTGGGTGATGGCATTGTGCTGTGGGTAGGTAGTAGCTGAGTGACCTTCATGGGGTGGAGTGAAGTCTTGGAGATCTGCAGATGTATTAATAGGTGATTCTGCTATGGCATTGGTGAGCCCTGGGTGGCTAGTCCTTCAGATTTTCAGTATTGAGAGCCAGGAATCCTACTGGAACTGCTGAAGCCCGGAGCCCTGCACAGGGTCATGGCCTGGGTACAGTATTCTCGATTGGCACTCATTTTCTTTTAGTGACCTCTCTATTCTGCCATCTTCTCAGAGGTCTCATATTGCTATGTTAGTTGAGAAATCATGAGGAGTGATTTTTTTTTTAATCTCCATGAAAGCAGGGAAAAGAGGAGGTGACCATGAAGTTCTGGTTTGAGAAGGAAGGATTGCTGACCTTTGACTTCTAGGAAACACGCAGGTCCACTGGAGCATTATCATCAAGGCAGCAGGTAGTCAACCATGACCCATAGGACCCAGAACCACTCCAAAGGCTTAAATATCTTACATGATTACTTCACTCAAATAGCAGTTCCATGTGCAGGTTGATTTCTAACTTGAACTGAACCAACCAATAGCATAAGTCTTCATATATCTTCACCTTTAATAATGAGCACAAGGTGTTCGTTATCTACCAATCATGGAAGAAATGGTAGAGTAGACCTATTTTATGGTTTGGATATGAGGTGTCCCTCAAAAGCTCATATGTGAGATAATGAAAGATGGTTTTGAGGAGAAATGACTGGGTTATGAGAGCCTTAACCCAACCAGTGAATTAATCCCCTGATGGAATTAACAGAGTGGTAAGTAAAGGCAGGCAGGGTATCGCTTGAGGAGGTTGGTTTTGGGGGTTTACCTTTGAGGGTATATATTTTGTGTCCAGCAAGTGAAATCTCTCTCTCTCTCTCTCTCTCTCTCTCTCTCCCTCTCTCTCCTTTCTGATCGTCATGTGAGCTGCTCCCTCCACCACACTCTTCTGCCATGGTGTTCAGCCCCACCTGATGCCCCAAGGAGCAGAACCAGCTGTTCATGGTATGAGACTTCTAGAACTGTGAGCCCACAAATAAACTTTCCTCCTCCACAACTGTCCTTGTCAGGACTAAAAGACCTGACAGTGAAAAAGCTGACTAAAAGGTATATTCAATGGAATTGAAATAATTTTTGTAAAGGGTTGAGTGAAATCGTACATTAAGGAGCTATTTTATGGTTTTGTGAGTAACTTACATAGCAAAATGCTGACAGCTCAGCCTTTGGGCTGGGATTTATAGAAACTGCATTGCATTTCCTGGGCCCAGGAATGATGATCGTTATAAGTTTCTGATTCTTTTATTCAGGGAATGACAGGATTAGAGTGTTTCTAGTGTTCTTGATTTAGCATGGGGTCAGAAGTAGAAACTTTGATATCAGACTCAGCTACAGCCTGGCTTATTATGGATTCTCAGTCACATTTTTCTAATGTAAAGAGAAGGCAAGAAGCTTTGTGGATCACCAGGTTCTTAATGGTTATTATTATTATTCCTCCAAGGGTGAACTCTTTCATGTTGCTTCAACAAGTAGTTCTTCCCCCAAGGGAGCCAAAGGCAATGAAGTAATTATATCCTATTCATGTTTAGTTGACCTGGGGATAGTGTAATTGACCCCTAGAGCATCTCCGTGGTTTGTCAACTTAGAACTCACTCTGATTTCATGTTCCATATACGCATCTTGAATACTTCTGAACTGGTAGGTCTTCTGCCTGTCCCAGTGGCATTCTGAGACCCGTGTAGTTTAACCACCTGCTTTACTGTATGTTGAGCCTGCTAGAGAGAAATGCAAGAAACTTCTCCTGGCTCATAGCTGAAGGTAACTCTACTCATCATCTAAGGAAACTTGTCAGAGAAGAAGTAGAATTTATATTAAATAATTTGATTGTAGGTGTTTGTGTATGTTTGTGTCTAGTGTATGCTACTGATCCCTAGCTCCTACTACACTCACCCTACACTATGACAAATAGCACCCTGTAAAGACACTCATATTAAATGGAGTAGCTATCTGAATTTTGAGAGGATAGGAAAAAAAACATATCTCCATGTTGAATTATTTTCTCAAATGGGTTCTAAGTCTAATTTTGAGAAGATATGAGAAAACATGCTTCCGTTTGTTTATCTTTATTCTATTAAGTCTTTTTGGGATTTGTACCAAATTTTATACCAAATCTCTGAAATTTTATTCATCTCTTCTGCCACAATCCAGGTGTAACAGGTGTTATTTTGTGTCTAAACTGCTGCCGTAACCCCCTATTCAGTTTCTTGCTGAATCTCTTGCTTTGTTGAAATCTGCTTCTCTACCCAGTAAAGAGCAAGTTACTTAAAACTTTCACTTATGTGTTTATTCAAATCTTTTCTTGGGTATACTTTTGCTTTGAGAATAGCACTGAAACTTTCTATCATGTCAGAAAGGTCTCCATGTCCTTCCCAGGGTGATCATGCTCTTCAATTTCTCTGTCCTGTGCCCAGGTCCTGTCCTCCCCAAACACCTAACTACAGTACCCATACTTTGATATTCATATGACAAACTTTTATATCCATAACTCCATGAAGTACATGAGAGAAACAGCATCCTCAACACCATAGTCTCATGAAATAGGACAGTCCATCAAAACTGTGAACATACAAACTTACTTCCCTAATGTCAGATTTGCATTATAACTCACAGGTTTCTTAAGTTGGCACCTGGCCTCATCTGATGATCATTCATTGATTTCATGGTTTCTTTTCTTTCTTTCTTTCTTTCTTTCTTTCTTTCTTTCTTTCTTTCTTTCTTTCTTTCTTTCTTTTTTAGGTGGACACAATGTCTTTATTTTTCACTTTATGTGGTGCTGAGGATCGAACCCAGTGCCTCATGCATGCTAGGCAAGCACTTTACCTCTAAGCCACAACCCCAGCCCCTATTTCATGGTTTCTCCAAAAGATATGGTGTTAGTTCCTAAGTGGTCAAATAACACAGCTTGTACAGACAATCACTAGAGCATTAGTGTGGCGACAGTTGGAGATACTCCAGTTAACATGTACGTACATATTAATTAGCTGAAAATCTATGTTGTTGTGTAATACTCCCAGTGACTTCTCATTCTTTCACATTTCCATCTCCTGTTTTCTCTACAGAAAAAGGTAACAGGAAGAGCATGAGGAGGGACAATCAGAGCAGCGTGTCCGAGTTCCTCCTCCTGGGGCTCCCCATCCAGCCAGAGCAGCAAGGCATGTACTACGCCCTGTTCCTGGGCATGTACCTGACCACGGTGCTGGGGAACCTGCTCATCATCCTGCTCATCAGGCTGGACTCTCGCCTGCACACCCCCATGTACTTCTTCCTCAGCCACTTGGCCCTCACTGACATCTCTTTCTCCTCAGTCACGGCTCCAAAGATGCTCATGAACATGCTGATGCAGACTCAATCTATCTCCTATGCTGGGTGCATTTCTCAGGCATATTTTTTCYTATCTTTTGTGGATCTTGACAGCTTCCTTCTGACCTCAATGGCCTATGACAGGTATGTGGCCATCTGCCACCCTCTTCACTACACCAGAATGATGAGACAGAGCCTCTGTTTCCTGCTAGTTCTTGTGTCCTGGGTCTTGTCCTTTGCCATTGCCCTTGTGCACACCCTCCTCCTAGCCCGTCTCTCTTTCCTTAGAGGCAACACTGTTCACCACTTCTTCTGTGACCTCTCTGCCTTACTCAAGCTGTCCAGCTCTGACACCACCATCAATCAGCTGGTCATCCTCACTGTAGGAGTGGTGGTCATTACCCTGCCACTCCTGTGCATTCTGGTCTCTTATGGCCACATTGGGGCCAGTGTCCTGAGAAGACCCTCCATCAAGGGCATCTGCAAAGCCTTGTCCACATGTGGCTCCCACCTCTCTGTGGTTTCTCTGTACTATGGAGCCATTATTGCACTCTACTTTGTCCCCTCATCCAATAACTCTAATGACAAGGATGTCATTGTGTCTGTGCTGTACACTCTGGTCACTCCCATGCTGAATCCCTTCATCTACAGTCTGAGGAATCGGGATATGAAAGGAGCTCTCAGAAACATCCTCAGGAGAGCAACATTTTCAGCATAGTGGGACTGTCTTTTTACTGTATGTATATGAGATCTTCTTGATCCCACATGTCTTCCATTTCCTCTCTTAAATGCTGTTGTTTCATGAATCTTGATGTGGCACTCTAGTTTTCTATCTGCCATTCATCCCAGATAGTTTTTCTGTCTGATTACTTTGATCTTAAGATTTGGGAATGGTTTTTACAAGCATACTTGCATTACTCTCTCTCTTATATTTTTCATTTTCTTAAGGTGTCCCTGTCCATCACACATATTCCCCCTTTTAATGAGTTGACCTAATAACAAAATAAATGGCTTTCATAAAAGAGCAGGCAATGATCCATACAGAATTGTTATAGGTCTCAAATGATACACAGATACTTACTTTGAATCCTGTAATTTATGAGGATACTTTTCAACCCTTGGCTAAATTGCTCCCATTTTGCTGGAAATTGTATTTTCATCTTTACAAAAATATTGAAATAGCATGACAACAAAATATCATATAAATATATACATGCATATATAACATTACATTATATACATGTACATACCTATTTGTACATATATATGTGACATGAATGCATTTTAAATAGCAATATTAAAAGAAATATTCATTTAAAAAATAGAAAATTATCAATATTTTTGGAGTTTCTATTGTCCTTCTCAATTGTTTTTCTTTCCCCTGGAGATACCAAGCATCTTTACTATTTTAAATAATCCTTGAATGCATTAGAGTTATACATAATAGTGGAGTCATTTGACATGTTGATAAATGCATGTATCACTTCTGTTTTGATATTTCAATTTTAACTGCTGAATATTTCATATAAATCAAATGACTTTATTTATTTATTTTAATGAAATGTCTGACTTTATTAGAATGGTATTAGGCTTTAAATATAACAATTTTGGTAATCAAATTATTGTTTTTTTCCCTTTAATAACAAATGACACTAGAGAAGTGCAACACTGGCCCAACAGCCTTGTCTTTTCTGTTATAGCAAGAAACAGAATGTGAGTCATCAGAAAGCACTAGCAGGCATCAGTTAGTCCAAGATACTAGGTTCTTAGTTCCAAAAGCACTTGCAAAGAAAACCATTGGTTTTCTGGAATCCCTGCATACACCAAGTCTTATGAGGATTTTTGAATTTGTCCTTTATTTGGTCACTTTTTCTTCCTCAAATACTACAGTTTTCTTTGACTTTTTTCATCAAAGTACAAAAAGCATGAAATGTAAACAAATGCATTACACACTTGGAAGTGTTCAATTCAAGCATTATAGAGCTATCTATATACAGATAAATTCCATCAAATCTTGGATAATTTAATAATATACAAAGTATCAGGGCACAGAATGAACTAAAACCCGCTTGTTTTTGCTATACAGAAGATTCAAATATTCAATCTAAAGAAAAATGATCATTTGGCTCTCTTCTACATTTGCATGTTGATACACTTATTAAAATATTCCTGTATAATCATGTTTGGTCTTACTATTTCAAGTCAGGTTTGAAACCACAAAACCAGCCATCCAGATAAAACAGGTAATGAAAAAGATTCTCTCTTCTCCACTTCCATAACCCCAATAACTCTGAAACCAATTGCAACATGACTCCAAACACTGGATTGTGACGACAATTGCTAGGTCCAATTTAATCATAATCCTTTTTGGTGTGGCATACTTGATAGAACTCAGGCATGGAAGCCAGCACTGAGCCTCCAAACCAAACTGTGTATGGCTGCATTGGTGTGTAATAACTTGTACATCAATAGGTTTTGGCTTTAATCTACTACCACTCAATTCCTCACTTTATTTCAGCCTGGAATCTACATCTACAGTTCTTTCCAAATCTCTTTGCATGCAATGTCCAAAGTCCCTGAACATGGTTGAACCTCCAAAGGACAATATTTTTGCAGAGAGGACATTTGACATCCATAGGACAATTTTGAATTACCTCATCTACAACTTCTGAGATAGATTGTGTAAAGTCTGGATTAGCAAATTCTGGATGAAAAAAGATTTCAGGTCCCAAGGATCTCTTATAACCATCAATAGAAAATTCTTTCTTTGAGATAGCATTGATTCGAGTATACTGCTTAATCCACTTTGATCCATCTGTGTCATATTTGATAAACTTTTTTACCGAATCTGGGCAGACATAACTACAGCGTTCCTTTACTGCCTTTGTGGTTTCCACAGACTGCTCTGGAGGGAATAACATGAGTGACAGCATCTCCACTGTCTATTACCGTACAGTATCGTCCCTGTTTCCTGGAGTATTCAGGGGAGGTTCAGTCAAAAGAAAATAATGGTCTTCAGGTTCTGCCCTTAAATATTTAAAGATCACTTGCTCCATAAACCTTTCCAACAAGTCCCAGTCTTCAAATGTGCTAAGGTGGATTGGCCACTTTGTTGCATATGTAAGTTTTTCTATTGCTTCATCACCAATGAAGAAGTCTAGGTCATCAACACCTTTCATGACCCCCCTTTGGGCTTGATCACCTACTTTTGCTGACTCCTGAATAGCAATACAGGAGGGTAGATAAAGTGTGGTTCTGTATTTCCAGCAGATACTAGTTTTGTATATAAGAAGTGCTTCTCTTTTCTCTGTCTTCTGCCAACCCAGTCTCCACGAACTGGGTCCCTGAGTCCCCACGCCCACAGGCAGGAAGGAGCATGGAGGGAAAGGAAAGCCAGGTGGACTGGGCTGCGCGACCACATCTAGGGAGAAGAACACTCGGAGGCAGCGGCCCCATCTCTGCTCACCATGGAGGGGGAAGACAGGGAGGGGTAGCGTGGAGGAAGCCGCTCCCTGGGGGGTCCTAGAATATAAGAATAAGCCTAGAATTTAAGCAGAACAAAATGGGCATTTCTGGTGTGAGCTTATAAGAACAAAATGCTGATGAGAATGTGGAAAGGTAGAGACTGTACTCATTAGGTTTTAGATGGAAATGAAGACTCTATTGGAAAGTGGACTAGAAGTCGTCCACATTACCTATGGTAAAAAATTTATTTACATCCTGTCCTTTACATGAGAATTAGTGTGAGACAGAGCTTAAAGGCAATGGACTAATTAATCTGGTAGAGGAAACTTCAAGGCAGTAGAGCCATCAGCAGCAGCATAGGTATTGCTGGCAGCATTTAGACAGGTTTACAACAAGAAGCAGAGGAGAAAGATTTAAACAATATGCAGTTGGGTCAGGAAAAAACCTGTGTAAAGTTGGGGCCATGAAGCTGAAAAGACTAGCATCATTATCAAGAAGCCAAATACTTTGCACCTGGACAAGAGAAAAGATGACTTGAAAGCATCGTAGCAATTGTCAAGACACCCCCCATTCCAGACTCAGTGGTTTGAAAGTGAAAACTCATTGGAAAGACTTTGCTTTGATGAGAGTCAGCATGCCCTTCTCCCACAAGAAGCCCAGGTTTCATTTCACTGTGATCAGATGTCCATACTAAGAAGTCCCTGTAGCCATGTTTCAAGTGGCTTCTGCTCAATCTGCTGGCAGATGATCAACGTAGCTCTGGTTTTGCAGGCTTGAAGAATGCAAAAATTACAGGGTCTGGAGGCTTCCACTGAGGTTTCAAAGGAAGGCCTGGGCAATGAATGGTAGGTTTGAAATTCCCATGGGCAATGTTGAGGGGGTGGTGCATGAAGTTGTGATAATGAAACTGAAGCTGCAATGGATACCCCAGGAAGTAAGAGATGACAGGAATGTGGAACATCTATCCATGAAAGCTTCAGACAGGGACCATGTCCATCATCTCCTGAATCAGCTGCAGCACCTGGAGCCCACTGAGGCAGAGCCAGAGGGTTAGGAGGACTAGGGGTATATGCATGGGAGTATGTAAGGAGAAGAGAGGCCAGGCTACACTATGGGGAAATTGGGGAAATTGCCTAAGACGATTCTTAGAAGACTTCTGGAGGTGGAATTCTTGACTGGTGGTTCTCTATAATGAAGTGCAATCTGAAGTGCTTGCTATACCACCAGTTCAAGTGCAAGAGTCAGATCCAGTTCTAGCTCCAGCATCAGCACCAGAATTGGTGCCAGCTGCAGTATCAGCTCTACCACCAGCCCTCCAGCTAGATCTAGGTAGCGCCAGTTTCAAACTAGAGCCATTCCAGTCCAGGTCTAGCACTAGCTATGGTGGCAGAGAGAGCTCCAGTGCAAATTCCAGCTTCAGTGCCAGCAATACAGTCTACTACAGAACCGCATTATCACATTATTAACATAAAAGATTAATGATCGCTTCTGGGTGATCTTCACTAGGTGTGCTAGGGAACTCTCTGGAATGTGCTTTATGCATTGATACAAATTTACCAAATTAATTCACTAGTTCATTAGTATCTGAATCTTTAATTGTCTGTAACTATATTGCATAATTAAAAAACAATTTCCATATGTACCCTTTTGTTCAGAGATTGAGGGTGTTAGAGTGTTTCTGGCATTCTTTTCTGTGGAGGGGAGTGCTGGGGATTGAACCCAGAGCCTCATGCATGCCAGGCAAATGCTTCATCACTGAGCTACATCCTCTGCCTACCTAATATTCTTGATATAACATGGTGCCAAAAGCAAGAGCCTTTGGTTATCACATCCAACCTCCTGCTTGGCTTATTATGGAATCTGAATTGTACTTTTCCCAAGGTCAACTGAGAAGACAAAAACTCTGGTGAACCATCGAGTTTCTAATTGCTGTCTTTTGATTTTTGTCATTATTCCTCCAAGGGCAAACTCTCTTATGCCTGCTTCAACAAGTGGCTCTTCACCCAAGGGAGCCAAAGGTGATGAAGTAGTTATATCTGGTTTGTCTTTAATTTAGAGCTGAGATGGGGGATTGTCCCCAGGTCTACTCCATGGTTTGCAACATTGGTACTCACACCAATTTCTCAGGAACTGTGAACCAACTCTCTATATATCTACCTTCTTTGATTCTGTGTGGACAGCTCTTCTCTCTGTTGCTATGGAACTTTGAGTGCCTTAGAGACTTTACCTGTATTTTGTACATTCTAGAGGGACAGAGAAGAACCTTCTCATGACTTGTAGCTGAAGGTATCTATGCTTATTATCTAATGGCCATGTCAGAGCAGGGGTAGAATTTACATTAAACAGTATGATCGCATGTTTTTCTGTGCATGTGCATGTGTGTGTGTGTGTGTGTGTGTGTGTGTGTGTGTGTGTCCAGCATGTGCTACCAATCCCTAGATTCTATCCCTCATCACATCATATTATGATAGACAGCTCGGTGTAGAGTAATTTATCTTGAATAAGTATTTATCCAAATTGTGAAGGCAGGGGAAAAAATCTCCAGATAGCATAATTTGTCTCACACTGATCCTACATCTAATTTTTGAGAAAAAGGTAGAAAAATCATATCTTCTTTTCTTATTCTTAACTCCATTTTATGATGTTGGGTTTTCTTACAAATTCTATAATTTTGTTCATCTCTGCTGCCCCATCCAGGTGTAACAAGTAGTATTTTGTAACTAAATTTCTGTAGTAAATTATTCAAATTCCTGTTGATGCTCTCATCTTGCTATAATCTGTTCTCTACCTAGTAGCAAGCAAGCTTTCTGAAATTCTTGGTCACTTCCTTACTTAATTTTTAAAAGTTTACTATTGTTTTATAATAGCAGAAAATGTCTTACATACTCTGGCTTCTTGATAATTCTCCAAATCATACATTTCCCAGGCTTACCATGGTGTGGAGTTTTCTCTGTTCCTCAAATACCCTATCCCTGTCCTCTCCAGACACTTAATAAGAATACTCATTATCATAATCTTTCTATAATAGGTTCTTCTATTAAGGACTGCTTTTGAAGAACACATAAAGTATTGGTTTTCTCATCACCTAAGTCTCTTGTAATTTGACAGACTATCAAAACCATATATATACATTCCTTCCAATTCCATTTTTGAGACTTTATCCTACAGATATATATGATAGTAAGCAAAAAGGCAAAAGAACGATTTGGTTTATTGCAATATTGCTGGAATAGCAAGATATTAGAAACAACCTTTATGTCCAATAGGTAGCTAATTATCATTTTTACTGTCATAAACTGATACCAACATGATAATCAGTAACATAGCTGAATGTATAATCCATCCTAGGTTACAATATAACATTAATATAATTTTAAACATAGGAGTTTTAAAGATGATTTCAATCAAGTTGGGAGAATTAGTACATTGATATAAATTTTAGTTAATTCCCCAAATGAGGGATGAGAGAGATAGTTAGACATTTTTCAGCTTTCAAAGAACAATTTCCTTTAGTTTTAACAATCTTTACATAGAATATAGTAGACGAGTTATCATATTCTGCTTTCCTATTCTTTGTGATTGCTTTCATGGATATTTCTAAGATGAACTGATCTGAAGGAGAAGAAGAGGAATGATATTATAAGCAACATAGAAGAAATGTCAGAAACATGACCAAAAAATTACAGGCTAAGAATCTTTGGCATAAAACCTAAGTTAGGAAATGTGAAAAAGGAGAAAATATTATTTGCTTTTGTTAGACAGATGCAAGTAATTGTTTGGAGGAGAAGATATGACTAGGAAAGTTTAGTATTTCCCAGTATTCTGATGACTTCCATAAAAATGACCTGCTTTGCATTATGGGGATATAGGAAGTAGGATTTGGAAGAGAACCTACTATTGCTGCACAGTCAACAAAAATTCCTACAGAAAGGATGATATGGTATTGAAAATGTTTAGTGGGAAAGACTTTTCTTAAAGGAATGACCAATGAATGCATTGCAAAGCTTGTCACTAGATATTTTGTTATTGGCTGAGATTCATGCTCTTAAATTCCTTGTTTGGATCACTGCAGATGATATTTCCACCAGTTCTCCAGATCCTGCTATCTTGAAAATCCAAAGCAGCCCGCCCTGCTCTCTTATCTTGATTAAATCCATAAAAAACAAAAGCCAAAGTGTGTTCCAGAGGTGTGGGGAAGGCTAAGAGAGGCCAACAAGCCATACAGATCATTTATTTTCTATTAGCTTGTTACAAACATGGTCTTGTACATAGTTTTCAAATTATCATCATGAGCTCCTGGACTTCTTAAGCTTGAACCTGGTGGGATCTGATAACCATTCAGATGTCTCATGGTTTTTCAAAAAATGTTCAGTTGTTTTATAGGTGGACAGATATCATCCTTTTTCCTGACCCTCACTAGCCCATCAGTGTGGCAAAAAGCCTGAGAGATTCAGGTTAAAATGCACTTACTGACTAATTCAAAGTCATGATTTTGGTGTATAGTATTCCCAATGGCTTCTCATTCTTTCACATTTCCATCTCTTGTTTTGTCTACAGAAAAAGGTAACAAGAAGAGCATGAGGAGGGATAATCAGAGCAGTGTGTCCGAGTTCCTCCTCCTGGGGCTCCCCATCCAGCCAGAGCAGCAAGGCATGTACTACRYCCTGTTYCTGGGCATGTACCTGACCACGGTGCTGGGGAACCTGCTCATCATCCTGCTCATCAGGCTGGACTCTCGCCTGCACACCCCCATGTACTTCTTCCTCAGCCACTTGGCCCTCACTGACATCTCTTTCTCCTCAGTCACAGCCCCAAAGATGCTCATGAACATGCTGACGCACACTCAATCCATCTCCTATGCTGGATGCATTTCCCAGGAATTTTGTTTTGTTTTGTTTGCAGATCTTGACAACTTCCTTCTGACCTCAATGGCCTATGACAGGTATGTGGCCATCTGTTACCCATTGCATTATCCCAGAATCATGAGTCAGAACCTCTGCTTTCTGTTAGTAATTGTGTCTTGGGTCTTATCCTTTGCCAATGCTCTTTTGCAAACTCTACTTTTAGCCGTCTTTCTTTCCTTAAAGACAGCACTCTCCACCACTTCTTCTGTGACCTTTCTGCCTTAGTGAAGCTGTCCAGCTCAGACACCACCATCAACCAGCTGGTTATCCTTTCTGTAGGATCAATGGTTATTGCTGTGCCATTTATCTGCATTCTGGTCTCTTATGGACACATTGGGGCCACCATCCTGAGAAGACCCTCCATCAAGGGCATCTGCAAAGCCTTGTCCACATGTGGCTCCCAC